GGGGGGGGGGGGGGGGGGGGGGGGGGGGGGGGGGGGGGGGGGGGGGGGGGGATACTCATACTCATTTACGTACAAGCTCCGATCAAGCACAAGCGCCGAAAGGTCGTCTACGACAATAAAACCCATGATCCTACACTATCCGAAAGGGCAATACAACAACGCGTTACACCCCACACATCCTCCTGCTCTAANGGGGGGGGGGGGGGGGAACTCACGTCCGCCGCAGGTGACGGAGTCGTCGCCTGCGCAAGGGTGGTCGCAGACGGTGGTACCATATCTCGCCAGGTCCGTGTCCCTAGAGTCCCCGCAGAAGCACCTGAGGTTTTCGATGGGCGACCAGAAAAAGCGAACGACATGCGCATATATCAGGCTAACAATGCTTGATCGCTGAATTCAACACTGCAAGAGTGATAGCGGGTTCTTTCCAACCTGAACACAGTGGTCGGCCTAGATCCACTCTGAACTCGCGTCAGAGATTGTCACATCTCGTCACACCTGTGCGTTTTTTCCCATGAGAAGCACCACCGTTCTTCCGCCAGCAACGTGGCCTAGACTACACGGCAAATAAGAACGCCGCTTACTTCATAGCGCGCAAAACGGCTGCACAATCCAGAGACTACGGCACCGATCGAATGAGAGGCATGTCGAACGCAGCGTGGCTCGCGGCCCACGTTGGCTGCATAGAACAACTCATGGAATCTAGGTGGAATTTATGCTGCCGCCAATTGCAAACGCGACAACTTACTGATGGCCAAACTCAACGCCGAATATGTCCGCCCCCGAACTCCTGCAGAAGTCCTCGCACATCTGAGACAGAAGAAGAAAATGAGAAGAGAGGGAGGGAGGGAGGGAGGTGCACCGAGGAGAATCATCACGCATGGCGTCAGACGTGATGAGCATCATGGAGGTGCAACATGACGGGTATATTACCCCAGGCGAGCGAAGAGCAAGGGCAGCGATTGGTGAGAAACCAACCGTACGCGCGCCACCTGTGTCTCCTTCTCCGTCATTTGACTATTTCTCGGGAGGGCGCGGGGGTCGAGTCAAGCAAAGAGTGCGATCGGCGCGCGCCACAAACAACACCGCTCTCCCAACAGAGGCCAAAAAACACGAAACTGCAAAGTATACCTGCCAGTAATACCGTATATGACACAAGATAACACACCCCCTGGATCAATTTTCAAAGCTCAATGGGGGTGTGCTATCTTCTGTCATTTACGGTAGGTGTTGCACTACAGGGAGGGGGGCTGGCTCACCATCGGAGTCATGGAGTCGCTGGCAGTGTAGGCAAGCTGCAGTATGCGGGAGGAAAACTTGTCATTGTCGTCGATGTAGCAGCCGAGGTACTCCGGGGGGGACACCTGTAGGCAACCAAAAATACATGGGGGGCAGGAGGGGGGGGGGCTGTCTCTTATACACATCTAGATGTGTATAAGAGACAG